CCGGACGGCGAGGATGATATGCCTCAACGCGTGATTGCCAGCAGGTCTATTTCAATGTTTTTGCTGCCAGCTCAACAGGCCCAAGTCAGGACCAGGCGATGAAGCAAGGATGCCATCCTGATTGACCGGGTGCCTCCAACTTGCAGAGGTATTCGCAATTATTAATGTGATGGCCCGCGCATGCAAGGATGGGTGATATGTGCAACCGCAAGAGCCCGATGGGCACCGTGCGTCATCGCTTCAGGTACCCACATCAAACCGAAGAGTACCACCGACATGTGTCCATCCGTTTGGGTTAGCTCGCGGATCCAGGTTGCAACGGGAACTCGGAGTTGAGGGTTGCAGCGCACTCAGTGTTTGTGCCGAGTGAGGTTTCAGCATCGCAGCTGCCGGTCCCAGAGCGCCTTGGGAAGGGCGCTGTTCCTTGGGAGAATTCGCAGAGAGCACTCATACCCCACCATGCTTTGCCAGGGCTATCAGTTGCCCTCAGATGATGTATTGGCCCTCCAGACCTCGGCCAGGAGGGCTTATACATTCTGCCAGTGCCTATAACGGCCGCGGGCAGGCATGGGGGTGGTGGATAGGTGCCCTCTGCGTATCGCTGGTCCGCCATCGCTGTTCGTGCAGTCTCCTTGCTGCTTCCTGGAGCGCACTGCCTCCTCATCTGCTCCCACGTCCGCAGGCGTCTATGCTCCTCGTGCTCTTCTCCCTGCTGTTCGTTCTCGTCCCTGCTTTCCGAGCATGCCCGCATGTCTTAGCCGCTTCGAAGGATGTCTGAATCCTGAACCTGGGCAGAAACGCATGGTTTTGAAGGCGTTTTATTCCTTGGTCAATCTCCACAGCCGCGCCACAACCGTACCTCCCCCCGCCCTCTTACCGAGCAGGCAAGTACGTCGCAGATATGCAGATGAAGCTGCTGCTCGCAGAGTTGTCGCGGCGGGCTGAATGGCAGATCGTTGAGGAGGCACTCCCTCCTCCTTCTCCTCCGCCTCCTCCACCTCCTCCACCTGGGGTTGCAGATCTGGACGGGGCACTTGGCGAGTTGCTCCGCCTGGTGGGCCCGAGTCTGTCCCGCTCCACGGAAGGCGTGAGCGGATGAGCCGTGCACGGCCCGGGGCAAGAGCCGTGGCGGTGGGAGGTTCGGTTTGGTCCTGCGCAGCGGCGCGAGCCAAGCCGGCCGCTGCCAGGCGAGGGCAGCAGGGGGCGACGGACGAGAGTGAGGAAGGGCACGCCCGCGGGAGAGCGGCGGCGCAGGCGCAGGGTGAGAGCCATGGGTGGTGACGCCGGCCACGTGCGGCGAGCGTGCGCACATGAGGCATTCAAGCAAGGGCCTCGTCGTCGAGGATTGCAGGAGTTGCCGTCGCTTCCTCGGCGGAAGGCGGCGGGAGGCTGGCGGAGGGCGGCGGAAGGAAGACGAGGCCGCCTCCGCCGGCAGAAGCTCGTCGGAAGCTCGTCGGAAGCTCGTCGGAAGCTGGCGGAAGTAAAACTCGACCCGCCCAGAGATGGCAAGATCTTTGGATTCAGGGTCTTTGATGCGTCCGCCATGCGTTCTGAGTTCTGAGGCGCGGTCCCGTGAATACGCGGCCGCACGGATGCGCCCCGCGCCGGACATCCGCGAACAAGACGCTCCGAAGCCACGGGGTCGCGGGCCAGGGGCCTGCGAGGCCGCAGATGTGGACATGTTTTCCGCTCGTGAGGTACACGCCGCCGCCGCCGCCTCCGCCTCCGCCTCGGATCCGCCTCCTCCTCCTCCTCCTCCTCCTCCGCCCCCTCTTCCTCCTCCTCCTCCTCCTCCTCCTCCTCCTCCTCGTCCTCGTCCTCGTCCTCCTCCTCCTCCTCCTCCTCCTCCTCCTCCTCCTCCTCCTCCTCCTCCTCTCTGGTGCTGGCGATGTTGACGCGGGCGCCACAGCTGGGGGTGCCGTGGTCCTGGCCTCCCCAGGGGGGCCCCTCTGCCTCGACAGCCCTCTCGGAGATCGTCGATGCCACGGGTACGCCCCCAGGAGGGGTAGGGGACGAGGCTCCCCCCAGTGGTGGCTGCTCGGAACGAGGAAGGTTTCTTTGCGTTTAGAATTTTCTATGCTGACGTTTGGGCCCCAGGATAGGTCTGGAGGCCTCAGGAAATCCCTGGAGATCTCCAGGGGCCGTCGAAGAGACCTCTGGAGACCTCCTTCGTGATAATGGTGAGGGCGATGGACATGGGAAGGACAATTCCTCTGATGGCGACGATGCAGAAGATAAAACCGAGAAAGGAAAGGAGGAAGGTTGAACGCAACTGCTGCTGGCCTCCATGTAGTGCAAGACGCAGGGGGAAAAGGACGAGGATAAGGAGCAGGACGTGTTTTGCTGTTGAGGCTGCTGCTGCTGCTGCTGCTGCTGTTGTTGTTGTTGTTGTTGCAGTTGCTGTCGCTGTTGCTGTGGCTGTGGCTGTTGTTGTTGTTGCTGTTGCTGTTGCTGTTGCTGTTGCTGTTGTTGTTGTTGTTGTTGTTGTTGTTGTTGTTGT